CATATGTTATAATGATCATAAATTATATTATTTGTACGGTTTTATTGATTGCAAATCATAATTGCACAAAAATATCGGAATAAAATAATTTAAAACAACTAAATAATACCTTATTTAAAAAGAAAATCCATTGAAGGTTTATGTTCACTAGGCCATCTAAATCAGATACCACTACAGGTGATTAGGTATAACTTAAATTAATAACTATAGATACGGAATTACATGAAAGTATACATACATGTATCAACAATCGTGTTTAAACACACATAACATCAGCTATAAGTAGGTAATATATTAATATTAATCTACAGCTGAGTAGGTGGATACTTAATACCTTGTACAGCAATAACTGTACTTCTATTATAGGTGTACAATTATTCATTAATATACAATATGGTCACATTAGGTTTATGCATTATAAAATAATTACTACATTATAAATTATAAATTATTTAAGTTCAACAGAAGTTCACAAAGCATATTATATCTACTCATACATATGACATACTCCTTACATGGCTACTTATACAGTGTACACTGCACTCTGAGAGGAGAGTGTTTCTGGTAATAGTTCCTTAATTCCCGCACTCACTACTCCAACATTTACAGATGTTACACTACGTTAACAGTTTTGTGTACACATCCCAAATGCAATTTTAGATTCCATTTTTCTCTGAACAGCCTGCAACAAAATGGGCAACTAAACTCTGGTGGAACATTATCGCAACTCATTGTATGTTTTTTCAGATGATGTTTTCGTTTGAATGTACGGGTGCAATTCTTGCAAATGAATTGAGGCTTTACTCCGCACTCGTATTTCAAATGTTTGGATAATGTATGTTTGTGTTTGTAGCTACGACCACAATGTTGAGGACACGGCCATTCATGGTTTGAAAATGGACCTAAATGAATAAATCATTAAGTCATTACTCATTATCCATTTCCAATATAGATATTTATAAATTATAATATGTATATTAACAACGAATACAATAATTGTTGTCAAAAAATTACATAAATGTTGTACAATTTCCATAAATTTTAGGATAAATGCATTATGCAAATAAAAATGATGGCAGGAAGCAGATGATGTACTTGAAGGACATATATTAGACATTGGTTATAGTTGAAATACTCTTGAATCTTGTTTATACATTAGTTGTGATTGGTAAAAAAATATTTAATTTATATCAAGCAGTATAAGTAGGTTTGCAACAAATAAAAAACCAATACGTTTTGACATAATTTCTATAGGTACCTTTTATTTATATTTATGCAAGTTTAGTGCATAGGCGCACAGTGTGCAGCTATTGTAGCCCCCAGATATTCATAATAATAATATTATTAATAACAAAGTTATTGAATATTTAAATAGAAGAATACAATAATAGAAACTTTAATAAATAGGTATGTTCTAACTATACGTATGGTATACTGTGCATCATAATTTCCGAAGTAGATAATTGAGGCTATTGTAAATTTGGGCCCAGCAAATAGCAATACTTGTAAATAAGTCAATTTTAAATTAAGACCTTATTTTCAGGTAATAAAATTGATATGTGTTACTGGGCCTTAAGTTTTAAATTAAAGTTACCAAAAAACAGTGGCTGGTAAACTAGTACGAATTTATAATACACTGGTGATTGATACTGTTTATTAGGTTATCATCATATTGTTTAATCCGAACATAGAAACAATGAAATATAATACGGCATTAGTTAATTATGATATTACACCATAGTCAGTATTTAAATGTATGTTAAGTGAATTCCCTTTTGTTGAGAGGATTAAGCAAAGGCTCATATAAAAAATGTGAAAAATTTCAAGAGAAAAGTCAAGATCTTTGTATTATTACATTTACCAAGATATTTAAATGTCTGATTGATTAGGATATAATTAGAAGGGTCTTAATTATTTTTATTTTTTACAATATCCCCATCATAAAACAATTTTTCATATCCTTCAAAAAAATAATTTTTTTCATTTTCATTTCATTCAATAATTTAAAAAAATTTGTAATTTAGTAGAAAGATAGTTTTTTTCTATCCAATGGTACTGATTTAATAAGCTACTATTAGGCACCAACTATGATTGGTGCATATGTTGAACTCCTAATATTATTATAACAGTAACCTGCATATTTTTTAAAATACCTTTCAGCAACTTGGTATTACGACAATAAAGTGAAAGAAAAAAGACAGAACACAAATGTGCGAATGAAAAGTAGCAAAACAAAATAAGCGTGAATCCATCAATAACGCTTTTGTCACTAAATATTTTATATCGACTGTGTATTAACTATGTGAAACTACAATGAAATATTTTAGAATTTCGTCAATTCACAATAAAGATTCAATAACAGTATGTTTATGATTATTATTATTATTATGATGATTATTGTCCAATAATCTTTGTGCCTAGGTTGAATTTGATATTTTAGTAATTTAACAGTCTTCTTATATTATTATGTACCTACTAATTTACTGTTTAACATTTTTTGAGTTAAAGTGCAGTAAATTCAATCATAGCAAAAAAACATTTACTGCATTTAAATAGTTATTGATGGTTATTATAAGATTCTGACACTTCAATATTTAAAAGGATTGCATATAATTTTTCATTATAAGTATAATAAATAGTATTCATATTATTTTAACTTTATACAGATTTAAATGTATTAATTTAATATTCAGTTAAGTCTTATAATACTATATATTTTTTTCTCAATATGTTTTCTCTCATTTTGTTTTTACTCTTTTTCATTCACGTATTTGTGTTCATTCTTTTGCTTTCAATTTTTCCAGTAGACCTCAGTAACTTACATTTTGCAAGTGTTTGCATTTTGCATTTTTTTAATAGATAAACAATTAAAGATGAATGGTATTATAATTTCTTATGTAAACAAAAATTTAATGAAAAATTTAATGCAAATATTTTCTGATTTTTTTTTTATTTTGAAAATAAGAAATAATATACAATTTATACAAAAATGATGTAACACAATAATGATGTTATGAAGAAAAAGTGTTGAAAAATCGGTTATTCTTCTGGTAGACCATCCATTAACAAAATTTAATTACTAGTTTAGTTTAAATCATCAGAGGTATCTTCATCTTTACTATTTTAGGGATTATTCAAGATAGGTTTTAAGAGAGAATATGGTACATCAGGTTTTCAATCAAAGGATATCCATGGAGAAGATTTCAAACCAACATTACAGAGGTTATAATGTCTTTGTGGAGTGTGTCATGAAACATATGGAGGTGATAGTATGAAGCGCTCAAGATTGACATACTTGTAATACTTGTATTTTTTTGGTATTAAGAGATTTTTGACTATTCCAGAGTTATATACCACAGGACCATATTGACTTTTATAACATTTATAAGAATAAAAGTTAAGTTATGGTAATTGATACTTTCTCAACATAAAGTATATAAAACTTTATGTTGAGATAGCATATGACACTTGAGCAAATGCAATTGTGAAAATCTTATAAAACAAATCTTGCACTGAAATTTTGGTTCATCACTCGCACATTCATACATTAAATGTGTGAATAAACTTTTGTTATTTTCATACACGTTGTTACATTTTGGACAGTGAATTTGAATTATTCCTGAAAAATAAAATACATTTTTAAAACAACTAATATTAAAGAGTTGTTAATGTAAATTTTATAAGAAATCTTAAAATTAACCATAAATACATTTTTAAATCTACACGCTGCTATGTATAGTGATTAGTGGCATGCATAATCTTTGAGTTCTATGAGATATTTTGACTGCCATAAATGACTGATTCAACACTATTTCTCACTTACAAATCAGAATTTTGATACCTACTGGCTACTATAGTTGACTCTTCTGGTATTTTACTATAGAAAAAGTAATCTATAAAATTATTCTGAGACGTCTTGATGTATGTATATATTCCATATATCGTATAAAATATAAATTCTATGTTAGTGAAATCTGATCATCTGTAGACAAATGTGCAACAAGCATATCAAATCAAATAACAAATGTTTATGAACTATACAGAACATATTGTGTCTTTTATAGTTAATGGTACATTGGTACTACACTATTACTGATAACTGCTTACTAGGTAGTAGTCTGTCGCATTAAATTTAGATTGTACTTTTTATACTCAATGATGGAGCCACACCTCACTATAGGTATCTCGAAAATGATTAGAATTTTCTAAAAATATTTGTTTTAAACCTTCTATTCTAATATTTGCTTTAGCTATACAAGTATTCAAGTATTAATTTTTAAACAATGTTCATTGCTATAACAAATTGAATCTAAATCAAACTAACTTAAAAATGTGGAGAAGTTTGGAATTTGAAAAAAATGACATAAATATTAAACAGAGTTTAACACATAACAATTTCTTATGAAAACAATAATTAATATTATAAAATTATTAATGGTAACAAACATGGGCATGGCTAACCTATCTGTAAATATACATTTTCTCTTTCCATAAACTATAATGTAGATTGGTTTCAAATTTATTCTACATTTATTTAATTATTTTGTATAAATTTTCCTGCAGATTGGTAGTTGGTACCAACAAAAAAATAAAAAAATATGAAGTACCTATCAACCTTATATTTTTCACACACATTTTAAATTAAAATAATAATTCATGGTTGCTTCAAACATAATAAAATGTACATATACTTATTATAGTATTGATTCTGCTGATTGCTGCTAGCATCAAAAATGCTCGCCGATGAATGCAAGGAGATTTCTCTAGCAGACCATTAATTGTTAATTGTATATGTATAGCATATGTAGCATTTAAGACAAACAACAATTAAGTACGGATATAATTATTGAGGTATAATATACTTCTAAAAAGGTTTTTTTTATGGACAGTAGCACCTGATGTGAAACTAAACAATTACATGTCAGTCAACAAGTCTCAGCAATGCGGGCGTATGATTCTCTTTTAACTGTCATACTTTTCCCAAAAATAAAATAAATGTGTACAACTATAAGAATGAAATTATAATTTTGTAAAATAATAGGATGTATAAATGGCAATCTTAGCTCGTTTAAACATATAAACTAAAAAGTTATATATATATATATAAGACATAATACAATTCAATTATCAGTTGTCCAATTTAAACAGTGACGAGGGTTTCCTTGGATTTCATCAGGTGAACGGTTATGCACAGATACTATATGTATTTTTAATGTTTGTTTTCTTGTGAAACATTTCTTGCAGTATTTACATTGAAACTTTGGTTGTACACCACATTCACTGGTCATGTGGCGGGTCAAATGCTGTTTATTCTTATAGCTTCGACCACACATATTTAAACAGAAGAAACGGACTTTTGTTTCAGGATTTGTTGTATTCATTAAAATGGCCGTTTGATGAAATGCAATATCTAGAAACACAATATTTTATTTTAAGCTTGGTACATATCATAAAAGTTACAATAGAAGAGTATAACTAATTTAAATTAATGAATAGGCACTATGAATATAATATTTTACAATCACTAATTTATAATTTAACATACTATGAAAGGAACATATGCACATAAATTATTAATAAGTGATAAATATTATTTCTTAAAAGTTATTATTGTTAACATTTTTTATATTTTAGAATTTCATTATAAGAAAAGTAAAATAACCTACCACTACGGCACTATCTACAATACGAATCCATGGTCCACATCATCAGAAAGTGCAGTTAAGAGAAAAATATGAGCATCAAATAAGAAGAACCAAGCAGAAAGCTATGCATTATAAATTTGTTTGAAACTATTACTAAATTCTTTTACATTCTTTTTTAAACTACTTGTATAATATTGTACACATTAGTATTATAATAATCTAATTAGTCAAACAAATTATTATAAAAAAAGTAAAAGTTTGTTTAAACCTATTCAGTATTTAATAAATCTATTAACATTAGTAATGTATCTTACATACAGATTGCAGTCATATTTATTATTATATTATTTAATGGAAATTTTTATCATTGATAAAGTAGGTACCTATTTAAACTGCCATCTAATGTCTATTGTAGTTAATTCATGAATAATAATGAACATTTATTTGATTTTGATTTCTTTTTTCATAATAGCTTTTAAGTTAAAAAATGTGTTATAAGTCTTTTATTAGTTAATAATAATGATATAATTTTAATGTATTTTTATTGTGTTCGGTACTATCTACCTTTGTAGGCATTTTGTATATATAATTAATAAATAAAATACTCTTCAATATACATGAATATGAAATCCTCTTTAATATACAGTGAACACCGCTTATAATACTCACATTGGGATCAGTACAAAGTGAGTCTTATGACCGAATGAATCTTATAGGCGAAGTGTAAAAAAAATTAATTACATATTTATGAATTTTATTTTACTACATATTTTTCTTTAATTTTAATACTCTAATACATATTACATATGACATGCGTATTATTGAATAAATTAAAAAAATTCTGATAAAAAAATTAAAATTACAATACATGTAAAAAATGATTATATGCATTAATTTTTTTAGTTATAAACTAATATTCCAAAAATATATTGGAAAATGTGAAAGACGATACAATTTGTTGTACATACAAACAAAATAAAGCAAAAAAAATTAATATATTTCTAAATTTTGACCAAAAATGTTTATTTTTTACCATTGTTTTTTTTACAAAATTTGAGTCTTATAACCGAATTTTTTATAACGTATTTGGATACGTCCGGACCATTTCAGACAATTTTGAGTCTAATAAGCGACTGAACCTTATATCCGTGAGTCTTATAAGCGGCGTCCACTGTATATGGCAGCTTAGTATAGGTTATTAGAAATGTTATCAATTATTATTGATCTTATTTGATAATTTTTTTAAAATATATTTTATGGTTAGAACAAAAAAGCTGATCAAAAATTAAATAAGCCGTTACATAAAAACATTTTTGGAAAATGAGGTATCTAAGTATATTATAATTATTTTCATGATTATTGATTTTACTAAAAGATTAGTTTCCTTCTTTTATTCATGCTAACAATAAAATTAATAAAATTGAATTAAGCAAGCGTAATATTGCATTTTATATTTTTTTATATTGATGTTAGTGAAAACGTTCAAATACGAATTTGAACCTATTCATAAACAACAACAGTTCAAACCATTGAACACATGGAACTTTGCAAACAATTGTTTAAATGGATACCTGTAAAATGAAAAATTGTTGTTGTATTTTATATATGAAATAAATAATAATAGAATTTACTAGTGTACAAGAAACAAAGGAAATGTACGATCAGTTAATACTGAATAGAGGTGGTAAGTACCTGAAGAATATTAAAAACATTTAATCAATAATCACTAGTATAATATTTTTGTTATTATATTATAAATTACTAATAACTGAAGAAAAATATAAAGAAATCTGACGAATAAAATGCACAATAATGCAATTGTAAACCCAAATCCAAATAACATTTAATAGCAAATTCAAATAAATAGTTTATGTACCTATTACATATTCATCTCACATCTTACAACAATAATACTATAGGTTTAAGTATTTTTAAATTGGATACATTGTTTCGGGAGTACATAATAATATTGTTCATCATATTGATATAAGTCAGTAATTTACACCTACAATTTAAAGTATTTAAGAATAAAAATCCCAATAGTAATTTAAAAAAAAATATATGAATTTATTTTAATATTTGTAATATATGTATATAATAAACTATTATGTACCCAACAGCCAGTTAGGTAAAAAAAAGTATTAATAAGCATTCTGTATGCTCATAGGAAATGTCACTATATGAGTCAATTTTGCAATGTTTGTACCCGAGAATCAGCTAGTGATACATAAAAGAATGTGTATTTTATTTTGTAATAAAGAACACAATTATTATAATAGTATAACAACTTAGAAATTAAAGTAAGAAACTTTTAGACCAATAATAAATTATTTTAAATTTTGTTTGTAAATACATTTTACAATCACTCTATGGCCAAAGAACAAAGGTAACTTCAAGTATAAAAAAATTGTACAGTCTTAAAATTTAAGTTAACTAAAACACTTATAACTACAATGATAAGTTATAAATACATGTCTTTGAGTTTATCGAAACAACATAAATAGTGATTGATATAACAGAAATTGGAAATGTTATTGTTATTTATTAATACTTATTCAATTTTGACAAGTTAGTATTTATCAACTAACTTAATCTAATCTATACATGTTTGAATATGTGATCTGTTTGATTCACTTTAATATCATAGCAGAAGCATAGGTAAATAAAATAATAATTGTATTGTTTCAACTTTGTCCGCAAGTGACGATCAAAAAAACTGTAAAAAGCAATAACATTAAATGAACAAAAAGTTTCATACCAATAAAAAAAAAGAATTTGTTTATACCTGCATAATGTATGGTTATTGTTTAACTGTTATATAATATCAATTTACATTTCACAAGCATCTAAATTTTTCACACTGATTATTGGCATCAATTTTTGCCACACATTTTCGTAAATGTTTTTTCAAATGACACTGAAGTTTGAATTGATGAAAACACATAGAACATTGAAACTGTCGTTTAACACCACATTCGTACCTTAAATGACGGATAAGACTCTTTTTGTTTAAATATGTACGTCCACAATTATTCAGACACACCCAACGTCTATCTGATAACAATAAGAATTTATAAATTAATCAAAGTACATCAATATTCAATATTATTAATATTTCAATTTTTAATAAAATTATTATTGGTAGCAATGCAGTAATGAACGAATAAAATAGTATCTACAAGACATAATAATTGTAAGTAATAAATATAATAATATTTAAATAGCATAATTATTTGTTTAATATGGGTATTTTATATTTGCTATAGGGAAACTGTCAATAGTGTTATATATTATACGTGTGCAAAGTACTTTAATATTGCTTCAGATCCAGGGATTATCCCCCTTGTTATGTCACTGCCCCGCCACAATATTCACATGCAATATTCTATTTTTTAAATTATTTTATATATATTCATGTGTGTGTGTATTTAAAATATATGTATTCATACTTGAAGGTGTAATATGGTATGTACATATAATATCAGGTACAAGTAAAATTATTTTGTTTAATTATATTATGAGAATATTGTGTGATTTGGTAGATGTATAAATATATAAGATAGGAATGAAAATTTTTATCTTATCAAAGTTTCTAGAGCGGCAGGTCTGTCAGGGCCTGTTCCGCGTACTCCCATTGTAGCCAAACCGTTGTTTATAATGATAAAGGTAACAATGTGTGATATTCATATTTATTTTTTTAATAAACGATGCACCATGGTGGAAAATAATGCGGTTCCTCCACATGTTGCAGTACATCTGTTTATTTAAAAGGAAAAAAAAATAGTACAGAGGTGTTTGAGTTATTGAAGATAGGAGTGTCTGAAGTAACTGTACAATAATTGTGAGTTAAGGGTAATTTCATAATAATTTACTGTCTACAAAACACTTGGAGAGATGCAGAATCTACTCTATAATGGTCAAATATATAAAATAAATTAGGTAAACTTATACCGGATGCAGTGGCTGGGTCATGAGTAATTTATTATCTATTGACTAGTACCTAAAAGTCTCATATAGTTAGTGGGATCACTCAACTTGGCACAGAATGTACTATAATTTAATTTGAATGTAATAGTACTTGCATTAAAAAAACATCACCATAAACCAGAGACAGTCATAGGCCTCCTAGTCCTCAGAATTTAATTTCGACCATATACATCAGCATAATATATTATCATTTAATTATAATTAATTACGTTTAAACCAAAATTTTTTGAGAATAATACTTTATTGGACTATCATTTGAAAATGTATGTAAAATAAAATAAAATTTATTTGTTTAAAAAAAAGTATATTTATAAGTTTATTCTATTATTATACAATAAGGAAACACAAACATAGTACAATAAATTGAGAGCATATTTGAATTACTATATATATACAATTATAAAAATATTTGTAAAAAGATAAGCGAATTTGTTGACGTGTATTAATTTAAGTATGCACATGAAATAAAACTATATGAATGAAGTTGAATAGATTAGGTTAGGTTAGGTACATTTCAGTAAATTAGATAAATATAAATACTTATAATCATAGATAATATAAGAATTTATGGACTGCAGAAGTTTCATGGTTATAAATAAGTTGACTACTGAAAAAATTAGATTTGAGCAAAATTTCAAGTATTTGAAGATATAATTAATAGCCGTGTAAATAAGATTGTTGTAGACTTTAACCCGCACCCAATTTAGTTAATAAGTGTTTTTGAGACGAATAAATGGCCTAAAAATATAAAAAAAATATAGCATACATATTACATTTTTAAATTTTTATTATTAAAATACAAATTGAATGAATTCATTGGTATCATCTAAAATTGTTGGTTTTTTTACCGAGACTCATAATGCTCAAATATTCAATATTAAAATATATACAAAAATAATTATTTTGTTTTCAAACAAGTCTATTTGGCAAGTGTATAACATAATATTGTTAAAAAATAAAAAATAAAAAATAAAATAAAATGTAAAACAAAAAAAATTGTTGAGCTTTAAATCATCAAATTTGAATGTATACAAATACAATATTTGTATAGACTAAAAATGATACTATGATTTAATATACACCAATATTTTGTAAAAGGAGAGAAGACTTAAAGCGCACAACTTTTATGAACAAATGCTAAGTGATTTTTCCATACATCTTTCCTCAAAAACCGTTTATAACAATAGTGGCAAACGTAATTTGGTTCTTTGCCACAATATGATTTTATGTGTCGATTTAAGTCAGGTTTGTACTTGTAGCTTTTGCCACAATTGTTGTTTGGACACTTGAATTTCCACACAGCTGTATTGTGATAGTTGTATTTAAAATCTGAAAACAAATTTAATTCAATAATAGTTCCAAGTATATAAAAATTATTTATAAATTTCTATAATTAAGTTATACTCCTTCACTAAGCGAAGGTTATATCAGGGACAAAGCATTAGATAAGAATAGCTAATAGATATAATAAATAATGAAGTTAAGTCATGCTAAAACTTTAATTCATACATTAACATCACATTTCATTTATTTAATAACATGATAAATTTAATTTAAGAACCCCACTAAGAATTTATTTAATTATTTATTGAATTAATTATTTTAATACATTAAAAAATGTTATAATATCTAGTAAATATTAATACAATTTCAATAATTTGACTTTATCTTAGTCATGATTAGATTCCTATTATAATATTTGTTGATTACAAGATAATATTATGCAGGATAAATAATTACAAAACAAAAAAAGCCCTAGTAACAGGAATAAGCTATACAACCAGGAGCAAAATAATGGAAGTAAATAATTTACAATAGTTTTAATTCGTAATAAAAATATTGGTATGTGTTTTTTTACAAATAGTTTTCAATAAAATAGAATATATTATAAATTACAAAGATACACCAATGATTAACACATTTTTTCTTTTGTTATGATGTAAAGATTTAAACAAAAGTTGTAATAACTATGAAACGGTCTATAGAAATGTATTAATTTAAATAAGTATCACAAATTAATAAAAAAAATAACTAGATTGGTATTACTCCATGAACTAATGCTGAATGCCGTTTAAGATGTGTTTTTTGAATATAAGTTTTATCACAAAGGGGGCAATTGAATCGTAGACCACATTCATTGCGCCAGTGATACTTCATATTCACTCGATGCTTAAAACTTCGTCCACATAAATTTGGGCAGACGCTGCGTTCATTTTTAAAAATGTCAACTTCTGTGAAAAATAAAAATAATTTTTGATTATATTATTTTAGTTTTTTTATGATTAAACTAACTTACAAATAACATTTAACAAGGAAGTACATGCCATTTCGTTAAAAATATTGTATATAAAAATTAAAATATTAAACCTGTAAGTTGTAAACTTCAAACTGCTATTAGGTACTGAAATATAATAACTGTTATAATAATAATACACATTAGAATACAATTAGGATCAAAATACTGTGACCAAGCCAATGAAAATTTATATTTTAGTTTTTTTATTAATTTGATACTGATAATTTATAATGATCCAAATACAAAAAATTGATAACAGATAACATTTAAATTATGTGTATATAAGTCATAAACCATAAACTTTTTCAAGTATAAATTATGTCCTTTTTACATTTATAAAAGAATACATTTCAAAATATTTTTACAATCATAAATTAAAAGCTAAAGTAAAAAGTATACATCAGCGGTTCTTAACCTTTTAGAGGTAAAAATATGCAACCAAGATTTTTGGTGATTCTTTTATTATGATAGCATTAAAAAATGTACATCTGTGACAAACAATGTATTGGAGACCCATAAAAAAAATGTTGGCCACCCACTGGTTGAAAATCGCTGATATACCTAACACATTATTAAAGTCTTACTATTCAATAAATTATATCTATACATAATGTAAAGTTTAGTTTTTAATTTTAAAGTAAATTAACATTACCTACTGTCTATTAAACACGCAGCCTCCTTACATTATAAATTACGTTGAATTAGAAAATAAATGAAAAAAAACATTGAAACTATCATTTCCATAAAATAACTACCATACTACTTACTAGTACCTTTGTACTAACCTACAAATCTTTAGTTTAATATTTCAATACATTGAAATAATGTTGAAATATTTTGTAGAAGTTAAGGAAGATTATATCATTTCTTTGAGCCTTTAATACAATTTTATATGTATAGTGATATTCAATATTTAAATATAATATAATATATCGTTAAGATGCATGTATATTTTATAAATACCCTGTCCTGTATTAAAGTGTATTTGTCAATTAAAAAAATTATTTAATGATATAGGAATAATAAGTTTTAAGTCATGGTCAAGTTTTTTGTAGTTAGAAAACAAAGTCAATACAAAGATAATCAACTAAATACAATAAATAATAATGTACAAATTAAACATATTTATAAATATGTATCGTGGTGTCAGCAATATATTTTCAAAAACACTTGTGTATCATTAGTAAGTGTTTTTTCAACTGTTCATTCAAATGAAATGAAGCATTGCAATAAAGACATGTATAATATTTATTTTTAGTACAATATTTTTGCATGTGTTCTTCATAATTACTTATAACTGTATAAGTATATCCACATCCATTTGGACATTCCATAAACTTGGGAAAATTTTCTTTTAGTTTCAACTTTATCTGAGGTCCTAAAAAACACATACAAATTAGAATATATTTATAAATTGAAATAAAAAATTTAATTTTTTTTTCAAAAATGAAAAAATTCATCTGTGAGAGATAATGTCATATTATACTATAGCAAGTAACTATAAGGAAAATTAAAGGCAAATGAAAATATTTAAAGCAAAACTAATATTAGAAGCGTGTTACAAAAATTGATTAATTGCAAATTGTTAGGAGTAAAGACTATTATGTAGGTAGATAGTATTAAGTAACAAATGGGGCACTTAGAAACATGATTGGGGGTTGTAGAAATTACATTTTTTTTTTTTAATAGAAATGCAAATTGATAAAACTGGAATTGATAATACAAAATTGCATTGGAATATAGGTACACTCATTAACCAATAATTTTATTTTGCCACCTCAGACTTGGTTTGTGGTGTTAGAAGGGCAAACATCAGCAACGTCCTATTGCAGCCCCAAAAAATACCATGGGAAATTGCCTTTATGCTTCTAAAAATTCAGCCTATGTTAAGTGATATATATACTCTGCTCCAAAAGAGAAGATATGAGACAATGATCAATTTTTTTCTCAGAATCGCATGCATCCATGTCGAAAACCATAGTAGGTACTGAAATAAAGCCAGGTGGATGGAGTACTGTCGACCGTCATCCAACGCACGCAGAAACTGTGTCTTCTCATTTGAAACAGAGATTGGTATGTAACATTTGAAGAAAAACATTTGATACCTTTAATTAATACATTTTTTATTTTCATGATATTTTTACTGTACATCTGAAGTATGATATTAATTAAAAATATACATCATGCATTATAGAAACAAAGTAAACCTTGAAATTACTTATGATAGTTTAATACTACAACATGATTAATACATTTAAATTTGTGCAAAACCAATAGGTACGTTAGGAATTGGCTGGGGCTCTGGAAGCTATCTTACACTTTTATGATGAATAAATTAATGTTAGTAAATAATAAATTAAAATAAGATGAAATAAATGAAAAATACGATTTATCATTTATTCCTATAAGATTGTAGGTATGAGCATTATTGACTGATTGCTGCTTAATTTTGAAGTTTGCTATAATATGCTTCCTATTTTAGTGCTGAAAAACACAAATTAAACTCATATTAATACTCAGAAACTTTGTTTTAGTTAATATCAATTTTTTGGCCGTATTTTTCTTTTATTTACTTGAACCCTACCAATAATCAGTTTCTCCTCAATCTTGTACTCATTGTTGAAATTGTTTTGCTTAAGAGGACACTACCCATTTATTAGTTGTCTCTTTCTTACACAAGTATGACATACCAAATTTGCATCTACTAGTTTCAATAGTGTGCTGTTAGTTTTGATATTGGAATGAATTGACCTATTATTAAACTATTAGGCAAGAACATTATCTGTGCTTAACCATCAATTTGTATTCAATATTTTGATTTTCCAGCGAGTTAGGAGCATTTTTAATTTGTGGTATTTCATATACTCATATCGAGCTTGAAAATGAAAATATCAAAAACTGCCAATTTTCTTATCTAAAGTTTTGATAATAGGTCAATTCACTTTTATATAGGTACAAACACAGAACACAATTGAAATATGTGCACAAAAATTTAGTATGTAAGACAGAGAAAAAAACACATGGGTAGCATCCTCTTAAGTACATTTGGTAGGACAAATATCATTTGTAAAGATTTTAAAGTAAAATTATAAACGTTCCTACTATCTGAATCCATTTAGGTTTATTTAAAGTATTTGACGGTGTAATGTGTCCGTAACTAACTTTCAAAAAATAAAATTATAAAAACAATGATTTTACTGCACCCAATCAAATAACTTCAATTTAAGCCATTTTAATTATTATAGTGTATAATTCATTATTTAATAACTAAGAATTTAAAATCATTTTATTATTATTTTAATGTATAGAACATTTTTTTTATAAAAATTATTATTTTAATCGGTACTAATTATAACAGAAGAAATCCTCAAATTCGAGAAAAAAATGTTCAAAATATTGTTTGACATTTACGACAACAAACTAACATTGGAAATCAATTTGCTTTTTTAAAATGTCACTACTTATTAACTAGTTTAAAAAAGAAGAACTAAGTTAGATGTATTGAATGGATAGATTACGTGACAAAAACGAAGAAAAGTAACAAAATTATGATGGAGGAGGAATGTTAACAAATGCAGTATGCAATCCATTTATTTTGGCATTCACTTATTGAAGAATACTTAAATGTAAAATCAGTAAGTGTTACATTGTTTTATTTCAATTCAATAGAAAAATAAAATACAGTAATATCATGACAATAAAATGAAATAAAAATGTAACAATTTATCTACCATTAAGTTACTAATTATGTATGTATGTTTACCAGTCGTAAAGATAACATTTTTGTATATCCTTATATTAATTATAAAATATATAATATGCTTACAACTTAATAAAATATATTCTTATAGATAAGCACTTTTAACTTAAATAATTATTAAGTCAAATTGTTTTCAACATTCTTTGGTTTATTATAAACAGGAAAGCCATGAATATAAATCATATGTGATTTGAGTGATTGCTGCTGTGTAAATCTTTTATGACAGACTATACATTGGAATTGTGGTTCTTTACCACATTCATATTTTACATGTCTGAAGAGTCCACTTTTATATTTGTATCCTCGGCCACAGCCAGGTTTGTCGCATACATAGGGACGCCATTCACTGGGAGTACACAATGATAAAGATAAATCTAAAAAATAATTAACAACAATGAGAAATAAATGACACTATTCATAACAGTAAATAATGCAATCAGAATCTACTTAGGCAAATAAAAAACACATAACTAAACAAAATACAAATAATAAATAATAAGTACTCAGAATGGTCAAATTTAAATCTCTCACAAGTCAAATTCAATTGTTTAAAAATGTTATATAGTAACAATTTGCTTACCTGTAACCTGTATCATGGTTTTTTGATAAATTGATAGATGTATTGGTTATGTGTTGGATACTGATAAAATAGTAATGTTAATTGAACAAACAAATGTAATAAATGAGAAATTATTATTTTTATTTCTAGTTACATTTCATAATTCAACCATCTCCCTTACTCAGATTGAGAATTCTAATAATACACATCTTACAATAAGTGCAATTCTGAAAAATAACTAAAAACTGAAATGTAATGTCTATACTTTTAAAATTGTTATTATCAATTTATTAATATTATTATTCTAGAACTAAGTAAATTAGATATAATGCTGTTTATGTATAAAAATCATATGTCTACGAAGATGCTCTTTACGTTTGAATGGCCTGTTGCACATGACACATGGAAACTTCCATTCAACTCCACATTCATATTTAATATGTCTTGATAATCCTCTACTATACGTGTACAGCCGATAACAATTAGGACATTGATAGGAGGGTACTAGAAATCAAATATTTGTTTAAATTATATTCATCATTACTATATATATATTTTTTAAACTATAAATAAGCTAAGCAAGAAATAAAAAATATCAATAGCTTACAGTAAATGTTTTAAACACTAATTATCAAACAATTTAATACATAATCCATGGTAAATAATTCCACAGGTACATTTTTTTGGCAAGACCGAAACAACTGGAATAGTAAAGTAATTTTATATAATATGTGGTTGTTAATCATTGTCAATTTATAAATAAACAAACATCTAAGATTATATTATCTTAGTCTGACTGAGTCAAAAAGTCAATTAATTCCATACAACATTTCATTTCTTATGTAAATATTCCTATTTTTTAAAATAAATATATTGCTTTTGATTATGACTAAATTTTAAAATTTGGTGTGAATACTTAGATGATACAATTATGTCTATGACAGGATATCCAGATCTTAATTATTGTTCATCATTGCTGTATTTTAGCACAATTTACATACCAGGTATAGCTAGTGGCTTGTTCAGCTTTTTTGAGAGGGGGGATATGAATTGTTGACTATTCTCAGACTATGTTTTATATACATTCATTGCTTTATTATATATTTGATGTGACAAAAATAGGCCAAAGGGGGGACATGACACCCTCATCAACCCTATGTGACATATGCCCCTGAGTATAGACATAGCATAGTGTATAATAGTAATTAGTTCTAATAAATACCTTATGTATCAAGATCAAAAAAATTGAACTATTTTACTATTTAAATATAAAAAGAGTTAATATATAACTTATAAAACAACATATTGTATTAAATAATTAAAATAATAATACATAAATATTAAATAATTCATCAGATATTAAAGGTATGCAAAAATTGTAACTTTAAACATTTTATTAAAATATAATAAAAAAATGTATACTCAATTTATTATTCAACCTAATTACAGATGTTACAATATTATTCTATGAAGCAAGATCATATGTCTTTGATAACTCATTTTATGCTTAAACTTCTTGTTACACATTGAGCAACAAAACTCTGGAGGCTTTCCACACTCAACGCGTACATGGTATAAAAAACCAGTTTTGGTTTTGTATTGTCGTCCACATTGTAAGCATAAATATGGTTCTAAAATTAAAAATATATTTTATTATTCAAAACATAAATACAGTACAAATGTACAAAATTACCTAATAAAGCATATATAATATTATATTTGTAAACATAACATGAATATTAGTACAAAGTGCATAAGGTACTGTACGTATAAGCAGTGGCGAGTTGTAAGTTGGGGAGACATTGAAATAAATAATTAAATTAGGCATAATGACAATATTTATATTGATACTCATACTTAGACAATATTACACAAGAAATAAACAAATTGTTAACTGTTCGGCAACTTATCTTCTCTAAGAATACTATTTAAAAAAAGTGATTTTAACAAGTATATAAATTTTATATTACTATATTTAAATTTATACAAAAATATTTTATTTAGGTATAAAAAAACCAAATTATTCATCCGTTTTTATATGGGTTGTATGATTGTTTCCTATGATGCTTCGCCACTGAATATAAGCATGTAAATTAATATATATTTTTAAACTTAATATACAATAGCCTATACACATATTTTAAAGTTAAAGCAATAGCGTTTTAGATCAAATTCATCAAACAAAACATTACATGGTAATCCCAGTATACACACTCTGTATAAATAAAATATTGAGTTGTGGTCTAAAAGCTATGTCTACTTTAAGAGTAGTTATCACTCTATTGAAACTGCTAAACAAAAATTTGTTACGTCGTATGAGTGTAAGACGGAGACAACACAGTGAGTGTAACGTCCTCCTAACTAATTAATACTATCTTGGAAAAAAAAAAATTTTAAACCTTTTATATATTGTATTTTTGCTCATAAATCATAATGAAATAAGTAAAAATAACGTATGAATAGTTGCAAATAAAAAATTTCGGTAATAAGGTAATATTGTGGTAATATTTATTGAACTACAAGTTCATAATATTTTTTTCCAGGGAGGGAGGGAGGGCAAGTGCCCTGTCTTGCCCCCCCCCCCATAGGTGCCTATGCATAATAGACTATTATATAAAAAAAAATAATGGTATATTTATCATAGGTATCATGACACTTACTACAATTTGTATGAAGAGGACTTTATACCTGCATGTGTTGTCTTAAAACAAGTATTCAATCCATATTAGGTAAGATAAATATGTATTATTTATTGACCTAAGGCAAAACTCTCAAAACACATTATTATTAAACCATGTGGCAATCAAATTACATTATTAAGTTGAAGAGAATATAATGAATATATGTATATATTTATACATTATCAAAGTATTATATGTTGTAAGTAGGTATTCCATGTAATAAAGAAATCAACACTCTATTTTATAGTAATCATTTAATCATTGGAAAACTATAGAAGACTGTACACAGATAGTTTTTCATGTAATTTCAGTTTTACTTTATGTATTATTCATTTAATACTGAATGCCTAAAATAATTATATAATTTTTAATCAACAGGCCATACAAAATGATAACGGTTTTTTAAAGTTTGACAAAGTATAAGTGGTTCTACCTATTGACACCTAATACAATCATCATAAAAAAGACAAAATAAGTTAGATAGATTTAAATTATAAGTATAAGTATATTTTAATTTTACATTTCCATAGATTTCTTTGGGAATGAAATTAATTACTAAACATTAGTAATACATTTTAGTTCTAAAATGTATTCAAATTAAAAAAATGATATACTTGACATTAATAGTAGATATTAGTGCATAATTTGTATGTACACTTATAATAATTACAATATTATAGTAATACTGTTTATTCAAAAGAAATTCTAAAATATTAATTGATACTCGTCAAGCATATTATGTTTAAAAGCCATATGAGTTTTCCAATTGGATTTATAATTGAACTTTTTCAAGCAAATTTTGCAGCTGAATGCGGGTGGAAAATCTGAACAAGACATCAGATGTTGTTTTAGATGGTCATTACGTTTGAAAGACTTGAAACATTGATCACACTTAAACCGACGTGGTACTCCACACTCGGTCATATGTCTATGGAGTTGTTTTGATGCCTTGTAAGTTCGCCCACAATTTTTAGGACAGACCCATTTACACTCTGATGAATACTCTAAACATACCAATAGATTTATAACTTTAATAATTAATTATACAATTAATTAAGTTTAAAGCAATAAATCATGCATTTAACAAAAATATTACAAATACATTAATAACTAAACAATTTTGAGTGAAATAATAAACAGTAGAATTATTAAACCTAGAGCAGAAAAATATTCACAATCGGATAATTTTATCCCTGGAATAAAATTAAAAAGAGCCAACCAATCACTACACAATACAATTTTAGTTACTTTATTAATTAACAAAGTTAAAATACAATAATACAAATAAGAATATTGTTATCAGGTATTTTGAGTTATTAGTTAATTACCAAATAAAACTGAAGACACTTATGAAATTGTAATTTAACTTGTTAGTCATAGTAATATATTTAAAATGTTCTATATGTTAATATGAACAAAAATATCTTCAATAACAATAACATAATGAAAAATCATAATGATCTATTGATTAAACTCTTCAAGACCAAATTAATTAAATAATTAATGGTAATGGTAAGAGAACAAAATACCAGTTACTTTTGGAAAAAAGGTAAACAGAGAGTTGTTCAGAAAATGAGTGTGTAATCAGGGGTATGAAACTGTGTGAATTGGCAAAATAGGGCCATTGAGGCTTTGAACACAGCTGTGGTGTACGTGAAATAGGGAATGGTTAACATCTGACCCCAAGTAGCATACCCAAACTCTGTGGCCGTTAAAGTGTTCTGAATAAGGGTAAACGAGGGTCTAACAGTATGTTGGTATATGGGTACGTTCCAAGGTTCAGACTTCAGATCATAGGTAAACAAGAACCTGATCAGCGAATAAACTGTTGACTCCATATTATTCTATGATATTAAACAACAAAAGAGTTGAGGTAATATTGTAACTTGGAATGAGATATATACTATATTTGTGGTATGTTTGGCTAGTAGCTTCACAGTTCATATATTTAGTATCTATATGCTGGTATTTATATTTAAATAATTTAATTTATTTCCAATACAATTAGAATATAAATTATTCAAACATACAATAGTTACATACTTAAAATAGTACATAACATAAAATGTACTTAAGTTAAACATTAAATACAAATAAAATATACTAACATTATGACACAATTATTATACTTTTCAAGGTATTAAAACATAGATTTGTTGCTTCTTAAACGTTGATACAATCTATAAAATAGTTGCATGTGCTACTCCCATGTGGTAACGAAGGCTTTTAAGATGTCCAAACCGTTTAGAACACAGTTGACATTTTATAATAACTCCGCATTCGTTGAGAAGATGATTTTTTAAATTATATTTTCTGGTATACCCGCCAAATTTCCGTTGACAATTATTATTAGGGCACTTAGCCGGGTCAGGTTTTGCTAAATGGTCCAAGCATCCTAACCATTTTATAACTGAAACAAAAGAGGATATTTTTAAATAATTATTAAAAACCTAAATAAAAATATAAATAAAATGTCTAACTCAATAAATCATAATTTAAAAGTATTTAACAAACATGCACAGTTAAGAATCAGTATTTATATAATGACATAACTGATTATGAATTATCTGAATAAATGTGAAAAAATATGTTTTTGAAAATTATATTGTCCAAGATTCTAAGGCAAGTTGTTAATTTCAATTTCAAAGATTATATATTCCATTGTTATTGAACATTAAAGTTCATAGTCAAAATTGGGTACTTATGATATTAATATAATTGTGGTAGACTATCACAAGGACAGAGTATTAACAAACTTTTAATTAGACATGATTATTTCTGAGTAGCCATCTAAAATCATAATATAGATAATTTATCAGTAAATAAAAGTAGAGAACAGGTACTCTTTAAAGTATCATAACAATTTTGAGTTTCTGAGAATAAACTAAATATTGTTAAGACAAAAATGAATAACAAATTATCCATTGTTTCACAAATAGGCTGTAAATCCTATATATTGGACAATGTAAGTACTAGGGTACCTCAAGGCTCCCCTCTAGCTGTATATTTAATACATAATATAATACAATGATAAATATTGAGAGACTAATGATTAATTTAGACTAAGAACCTAATGCTAAAATAAATTCCAGACTAAAAATTCAAAATTTAAAATTCAAAAAATTCAAATATGTTACTCTTTGCTGATTATATTAAAAATATCATAATACAACATAATGGGGAACTGTTTCAAAATGTTCTCAACAATTTTAATGACTGATGCTAATAAATTATGCTTGGATATTTCCAAACAATAAACAATAAACATCTGTTTCATTTATAAATTTGTACCAGCGGTTAGCGGTTAGCTACTCTAATTTATAGATATGATCATAATAGTCCTTTGATTAGGGTTATGTGACTTGTCAATGATTATAATTTTTTTCTTTTAACTACATTAGATTGTTTAAGGTCTACCTTAATTAGATATAGAATTAATTTATATTTCATTTTAATCTGTAATTTTTTTTTTTGTTTAATCATTTTCTAAGTTTGACTATATATTAGATTGTTTGCTACATATATTTTTGTTGCACTACCGATTAAAAACAAAAAAAATAAATAATAACAATAAATTTAAAACATAAATCATTTTTATTTAATTTAACTAACCAAATAACACATAAGGGTAATGTAATTAGAGTAACATTAACATATAAATTCATTCAATTAATAAGAAAATGCACTATATCTAATAATACATACATTTTACAAAAGGAACAAAACAAATACTTAGGTAGCAACATATAGGTTATACATAGGTTATATAGGTTATACCTATACTATATATTAATGTACTTAAAATCTACAAGAGATCTCAAATATGATGAAATCGGGGAACATACAAAATATTATTGTTAATTCACTCTCTATACTACAGTGTGAGATATTATAGAATCTTGGAGTAATTTCGGTTTTAATCTGTACCATAAAATTAAAAATTATAAATGTATATATATATAAATGTGATCACACAGTCACAAATAAATTATCATGTTATACCCACATATAACACTTTTAATTTCTGTGGTCATAACTCACATTCTTATACAATTATAATATTCAGCTGTACAAAATTTATTTTAATTTATAAATTACAGCGTTTCTCAATTACTACGTAAATAAGAACTTGAAGGAGGGGTAAAGGTTGGAAAAAGTAGAATTTGATTTGTTTGAAATGGTTTTTTCTCTAGAAAACAATGAATATGTTATTGCTTCTTAAAAATGAATAATTTTCGTAAATAAAAACAGGATGTTTAGTTTTTATAATATATCCTAGTATTTTATATTATAGTATAGAATACACGACAACTATTTTCACTTTTTTGACACCAAAAATAAGTGCCCGTATTAACTTTCTGTAAGTTTGGACTAGAGAATACATTTATTATCTATTTTTAAAAAAGTGAGTTGAGCAAAAACACAAGGTTCATACTAAATTCTATAATATTTATTCTGATTGTTACATTTATTATGTGACTAATAATAATAAATACATACTATTTTATAATTTCTTATCTGTTGTGTGAAAATAGACTATATCAAATTGATGACAAAGAGTAAGTGAATCAACAAAATATGAGAAACGCTGAAATAACAGAAATAATAGTTTATTATCCAGAATAATAAGAGAATGATATAGTATGATATATATATATAATTGCTATAACAGTAAAAACATATCGATATACATTTCTATAGGTACATATTATATAATATTTGATTATATTTATTATGCTAAACTTATAAATTGTGTAATAAACTATAGTGCCTATTTAAATTAGATTTTTGATGAAATCTACGTTCACAAATTGTACAAATGAACATTTTCTCAATACCACATTCATATATTTCATGTCTACGGAGGTTTGCTTTATATTTATATGAATTACCACATTTCTCACACGAATAACGTGGTAAATGGAATAAACAACCTGTGAACATTTTTTTAAATTTACAAATTATTATCAAATATATACTTTATTTGAAAGACTATTATAATTATTAAATATAACAAAATTCATGCAATTAAAAACATTATCTACTATTAAAATAGGTAGGTAATAATGGTATGACAATATTGCATATGATAATATTGAAAAGGATAATATACTGTAAGTATATTATTCAAAGTTTAAAAGTAAAGACATTACAATATGTATAATTTATAGTAAAAAAATAATAAAACCTAGAATGGACATTAAAGTAAACAAAAATATTTAGATTTGTTTCAAAAAAAGTTTATATATGTAATTGAAGTAGTATAACATATACTATATTAATTATAACAGTCATTTGAGAAATGTATTTAAATATTTCATAATAGTTTAATGTTTAATCTACATTTTAAAGTGCACTTACAATAAAATGTAAGGTACAATTATATTGTCTGTTAACAAACCTACAGATGTATTTTGTGTAATTTACATTTAATAATGACTAATAATTAATTTTTGATTTAAAAATAAAGATGAAAAAATTTACAATTTGTGTTATTTAAAATTAAATATCATGAAAAAATACCTAACCAAAGTAATTAAATCCAAACAGTGGTGAAATAACCCATACACGACCACAGTGGTTCAACCCCCCTCCCACCATCAACAATTTATAATAAATACAAGTATTATCAGTATAACTATAATTATTAAAATAATTTTTTTTTCATTTTCATATTGTGCGTCCACCATTATATTGAGATAAAATTTAAGTTGAGTAGTAATAAATATTTGATACTTACAGCAAAAAAATGTCTGAATAAAATTACTTCATCTTGGATGATAGATAAAAAATACAACTTTCAAGTTCAATTGTCAAACTATTAGACTGAAAAGAATTCATCAACATTATAATTCATATCTATTCAACAAATATATATATATATAGATAGATATAATTGCTTAGAAAACATTTCTGAGATGTCTATAATAAAGAATTGTACTGAATAAATACATACAAAATATAGAATAATATAAATTGTAATTGAAGTAAATTAATATTTTTTAAAGGATATATCCACTGTCCAAAAATATGATCAGTTCTCTAACAACCACCATAGAAGTAAATCACAATGAAAAATTCTAATAAAAATTTTAAATATACCACAATTTATTGTATGTTATAGGTATAGTACTCATAACATTTTAGCACAATATTTAATATTTATGTCTGTATAAAATTGTGGAATTAATAAATTTGAAGAATGCATCAGAAATTAAAATAAAATACAGTATGAAAATAAATCATGTTAAGTATAAAAATCTTAATATTTTAAATTTTGAATCTCCAGAACAAAAATTATAAATTGAATAAAAAAAATAGAATGAATTACTCGAATTTGACATTATAAGTCTTTATAAAAGGATCAGCAAGTTTAGAATTTAAAAAAAAATATATGAATTAGCCCAAGTATGAACTATTTTAAGACCGCTAGGATAGATAAGCATATATAATCATAATTACAATATGTATACAAAAATAAATTATTTATTAAACATTTTTCAGTTTTGAAGGAAATTTCAAAAATATAAAATACATAGATGAATGGAAATTTATTAAGTCAATTGTTGAGGTTTTGAAAAAATATATTTATACAGTTTGAAGCACTTATAATTTTTAGGTTTCATTGTAAAGTTGTTTTAAATTAAAAACTATACTTATGAAGCAGAAAATATATCTGATATAGTGATATATAATATAGAATAATAAGTTCTTATTTATAAAAATTTAATTCGAAGGTTAGTTAGAAAACTAAAGTGGCAGAAGAAGCAATATAAATTACGAAGCATTCTGAGTTCATCTAGGACAATGTGTATCAACTTTTTTATATCCCAGTACCACAAACAAATGTTAAACAATTTCTTGTACCTATCACATGAAAACAATCTGTGGTATAAAATTGGTACCATTATATACAGTACGTTGTTCATTAAATTATAACAAGGTTAGAAATAAATCACTAAAATGTAATATTATGTTTATGTTAAATAATGAGTTAAGACTTAGAACAACTGTTAGACATTACAACAGATTTGATATGAATAAATATGAAGTAAAAAAAAAAAACTAGCATTTATTAGGCATGTATAATACACATATTAGACCAGTTTAAACAATAGAATATAATACTTGAAACAGTTAAGTAATCATTTTATAAATTAAAAACATCAAAAATAGTCTATACCTATAAGATATAATGTTTATATAAGTAATAAAAATTTTAAATGTTTATATAATGGCACAACATTTTCTTTACATATATTTGATATTAATGGCACTTAATATAATTTTCAGTTTTAATTGAAAAAATGTATTTAAATTATACATTGTTAGTTGTTACTAATAATATACAATATGTATACAAATATAGAAAATTAAATTATACGATATTGATGAGTTAATAAGTTCTGCTAATTGATATATAAATAAAAATAGAATTTGGCAATCCTGGTCAAGTAGCAACTTCAATGAAAAACTATTTAGTTAAAGTTCTTGGATTAACAAGTCTTTAACAAGTGTTCAAGTTCAATTTTAAAATGATTTAAAGTATTAACCATTCACATTATTTTAAAATTCAAATAATATCTTAAAATTTTTAGATTCAGATTATCTATGATAAAACAATTTAAAGTAGAAATATAAACATTTTTTTTTTTTACAAAAATGTTTTAATTCTAATCAACATGATAAGAATTAACATCATTTTATATCAGACTTTTTTTTACTTGTAGAACTTTACATATACTTTGGAAGTTCTACATTAGGATAAATTAATAAAATTGTTTTTTTACTTATTGTAAGCATGATACTACATAGAACACTTAAACTGTGTATATTCAACTACATACTTGTGGACATTCATTTGATGTGCTTTGAAGCTAACCGGTTGTTTAAAATATTTGTTACATTCTGAACAGTAAAACTTGGGTTTCACACCGCACTCATAACGCATATGAACACTGATAGCTTGTTTAGATTTATATTTTTTTCCACATTGGTTTGTACAATAAAAAAGACCATCTGAAGATGGACCGGGGTATTTGTTCATTCTTCCAGATTTTGGGTTAAATAATAATGGCATAACTGTAAAATAAAAATATATTATTAGTAAGTTAACATTAAAAAAAATCTAAGAGTAAACCATGCACTGTTATAATTGAAGTGCCAAAATGAAGAAATACAGTTTAACAAGCAAATTATTAAAAAATTATAAAGTTTTTTGCTTTCTTTACAAACAAAAAGCTTAAAATAAATTGTGCTAAATAATTTTGAAAAATCTTACATTAAGGTGAGTAATTATTATTATTTCTTATATCGGACTAATATATAAAGGTAATATATTATAAAGGTAATTCAATTTTTAATTTAAACATAATAGATATATACATTTAAACAATTACAAGACTAAGAAATTACAACAATAAATAACAAAAAACAACATTAAGACAATATTCAATGAATTCTATAAGGTATCTTAACAATTACAGTGAGATTACTCTTACTAAGCAGTAAAGTAAGAACAAATTAATTTCATAATTTGATTATCTCAGATTGTTCAACTAAAGTTAAACAACAAGTTCAAATTAAGATTACAATATATAGTACCTTTTGATAAGTAAAAATAACAAATATTTGTGCATACATTTAAAAGAATCATAATTTTATCCTTACAAAATAATATTGAGTAGTTAATTATTTACAATGTAGAATACATCATGAGATTATTAATAAACAATATTCTATATAGTACAAAGATATATAATCATTAGTCATTCGTTATCTCTCACATACACAGGAAATTTATATTCTGATTAATCAATAGTTTGACATTTTTGATCTAAGGATATACTTACTTTAACAACCATCAAATTTCAAAATGGCACACATCTTGGATTTTCTAAACATTTTAGTTCTAAAAAGGCAATAATTTGATAACAATAATATTTTATAATAAAAAAAAAATGATAATAATAAATCTTTAGAAATATTCTTATCTTTAAATTAAAAATCAGTAAACTATTTTGTATACAGAATGGTAATTTTCTATGTTATGTGAACACAACAGACTCAGAAACAACAGTGTGTTCTCCTAAGAACAAATAGTATATCATGGATTTATGTGCACTTTTCAACAGGGGCGGCTTCTTATAACAATACTAGGAGTGACTGCTCCTACCCCAAAAATCGGGAAACAAAATGTTTTAAGTTTAACAGGTTTATTTATAATTCATAACAGAAGATTGATCATTCAAATAAAAAATAAGTGTATCTATATCATAAATTGTAAAAGTTAATGAAAAATTTGACTAAGGAAGAACCTAAAAATTTACATTGGTCCTAGTAAATGTAGTTGGTGGGTTGTATATAAACTTGCTCCTTGAGTTATAAAGACTCAAACCGCCACTGCTTTTCAATATCAATTTATTAAAACTTTAAATTTTGATTAATGTTACAAAATGAAGTGATTTCATGTGGATTTTAAAGTTTCCAGGTTGTTTAAATTTTTTGTTACAGATATTGCAATGGTATTTTGGTGGTACATTACATTCATATTTTAAATGGTTGTATAAGCCTGGCTTAGTTTTATAATTGCGGTGACAGTTCTTGTTTGGGCAGTTATACAACTTTCCATCATTCTGAATCCAAATATCTAAACACAAAATGAAAAATTAGTTGAAATAAAACAAACGAAGGATGTCAATTTAAAAAATAATAATTGAAGTTTTACACTTAAATACACTTGCATAAATGTATAAAAAGGTGATCTCTACTATAGATCTCTAAAATTCTTACTGTGATAAGAAAATAAGGTACAAACAAAATCAGATAAATATAGTGAATGTTAATAGTATGTTTAAACAAGCACATACCAAAAGCAACACGACATACATCACTTGTGTTCTAAATTATATATTGCAACAAAAACCATAATTAAAAATTTTAACAAGTACTTCGTACATCTATTTAAATTACAAGCATTGAACATTTTAATTCTGTATTTAAAAATATTGATCTACAGTTTTTTTTTTAGATCGATAATACAATAATCCTGAAATTGAGTAATTATTGTATAGTAACAATTTACTAAAAAAATACATCCTAATTTCTTAAATAGTCAACTTTTTTTAGAAAAAATATAATATACATAAATATGCATACTAATGTTGTATACATACAAATTATTTGGAATTTCAGATTCATGAATAGGATTAAATAAAATACATTTATTAATAGAATAATTACTATGTATAAATTATAATGCTTTTATTTTTGGAAAATATGTAGAAAAGACTATAATTGCAGATCATAATCTTAATATTATTAGTTCATCTATGCCATGAAGATGTGATGTGTTGTAGCCATATGTTTTTTAAAATTAGAGCGGTAATAAGTCGCTTTGCCACAAATTGTACAAACAAATTGAGGATCTTTATTACATTCATATTTCATATGGCTTATTACATTTTTCTTTCGACGATATGTACGCCCACATTGAGTACACTTAAATGCATCTTCACCAAAATATTTCTGTTTAGCACTGTTATTATATCGATTTACTGAAATACAAATAGTCAATATTAATAATAAAATAATAATTTTAACATTATATAATACTCAATTGATTGTGGTAATAAATTATAAGCAATCAAAAAGCATTTTTAATAGATAACTCAACACAACTATCATGTTTATAATTTTATTCTTAAGTTAAATTTAAATAGTATCATGAAGATGTTTATATACTATGATAAAACATAAAGTATTATTATAACTGTAAATATAAATCATTAGCAGTGTGAATATAAAAAACATATATATATATATATAGCTACTTAACATAAGTTAAGTTTAATATCCATACCTAAGTTATGTTAGGTCATATATTTAATAATTAGGTATAAAGTTTTATAATAAAAGATTTATATAATGGTACAATAACAAAAAACAATGTGATTTTTTTATTTTATTTACAGACAACTGACATGATTAAAGTTATGATTTGTTTGTACTTGTCAAGATTTGATAATATGATTACCTAAACAGTTGTACCTACGATGCAAAACTGAGGATTTAGTTGGGACAAAAAATTACATTTGTTTTATTTTGTGTCTATTTGAGTCCCACATACTGACAATCGTTAATAAAAGAACAATGAATCGTTAAGAAGTGTGATATTGAAAAATTAAACTCAGAAAATATTACAAGTGTTTTATAATTTTAATATTTCAAAATGTTATTCTATTAAATTTATTCTAACTTCAAAATATTTCATTTAAGTAATTCCTAAAACATGTGACGTTAAGGTGCTTGGCTCTCAAAAATGATGTGTGAATATGGGACGATTCAGGTACCTCCCTCAAGGATGGTCATTTAAAAAAACACAAAAAATATTCTCACAGCAAGTGTGATATTGCTATGAATCGTAGAATTGAATACTGTACCATCCCACGCCTTAACTACACTTATATGAAGCTGTATTATCTCCATACGGAAAATATTTTTTAACATACAAAGTCATAAGCCTAGTTGTTGACCAACCTAATCGATTCTCTCATATATATCAATGAGCGCTGGGTTTACCAGATCTAACCACTATAACTTCTTTATCGTGCGTATATTTAATGTTTGCAGGCCTAGGTCATATTTATACCTATTTTATGTTGTATATAATATCAGAGCATGTAGCAATCTCAAAAGTAAAACTGAAACAGAAATTAGTTATGATATTTGTAAAATAAATGTCCATGGAATAGAATTGTTACTACCTATGTCAAACTAAAAATAAATAAATAATGTAAATTCATGATTTCTAATTTTGTAAATCTTTCTGTATATTTATAATTCTACTGTATGTGTGTATGTGACTGAACTCCTCCTAAACGGCTCGACCGATTTGAAATTTGAATACATGTTTTTGTGTGCTTTTAGGTGATGCCTTTGGATGGTTTTGATTCACAATTGAACCTGATAGTTCCGACCCGAGGAGTTGCTCAAACAGGAATTTTAAGATTAACGAAGAAAATATTTGTTTATATATGGTAGCTATTGTTCATAGGAGAAATATAAATATATTTAGTAGAAATTGTTTGTAGAAATTGTTATTTGTTTTTGCAGTGGTTCATCGAGCAGATCAGGTGTAAGCATGCATACAACTGAATTTTAAAAAAATTGCCAACAAAGGTCACTGAGTTGCATTTATAGCCGCTCATCAGCATGTCCGCATTCAAAATAAAAATAAAACATATTATTAATATTAAGTACTCATCAAGCGGAGTCCTCAATCCACAGTAGGTAGACATAATATACTGCTCGCATCATCACCATCGAGTCTCATATAGAGTTGGCATTTTTAACGTGCAGCAAAGTGCACGGGATTAGTTAGTTATATATGTAATATAACATTGTTAATATTTTAATATTAGCTTTTTCTATGAAAAACTCACCAGGAATAACAATTTGTAAGCTATTAATAGTTTAAATTGTACAAGAATTTTAAAATAATGTACCACACTATTATTACACTGAATCAATGTTGCAGCAATATTAATCTCTAACACTAAACACATTACAATTCAAAATATACTTAACATTAAAATGGGGCATTTATCAATTACGTAAAAAATAGGTAATCGTTAATAATTTCACCGAGATGGATTATTATTGAATGAAAACTCAATTTACTAAAATCATTATAATATTTAAAAACAAAAAAAGAAAACAGGTATAAAATTAAATATTCCTTGACTTGGATTTTGAAATTAGTATTCTTGAGGTAGTGTACTTATATATCAACATTTTATATCATAGTTAAAATATATAATACCATGAACACTATTTTACAAATTAATATTTTGTGAAAGATTTTAAACAGTAAATTATAACTTAGAAACAGTAACACAGAATGTAACAATAATTATAATAGGTAGACACTTTCCAGGCGGGCAGACGGTGGTAAACAGTAAAGTAGTAAAGTTAACTAAGAAGTAGAAACTTAGTAACCACAAGGCACGAACGGTCAACGGAGCACGAACAGACTAACTTATACACTATCAATCTAGATAGTAAGTACGTTCAGTAATGATAATATTATAATTGTTTAATGTTTATTGTTATTATTTGTATCATTTATGATAGCATTACTTGTTATCGAGCACGTGGGTGAAAAACAGTATAGCCAAAAGTACAATTTATTTTTACATTATTATTACCAATCAATATTTTTGGTGTAGCAAATAGAAATGGCTAAGACGTGGGATAAAGACGTCAAAGCAAAACCATAAGATATAAATTATTATGCTATTACAGTTGGGTAGTATAGTAGATAATAGATATTCTATTGATTAAGAGGACGGCACACCCGCATGTATTAATTGTCTCCGTCTTACAGGTGTACATCATAGCAAAAACTGTTTTGGACCGGACAACTTTTCTCGCATCATATTTGTTGTAAACTACCAAATTTTCACAACACGTTAAGGTCCTCACACACTGCAGCGGCGGCGGTAAATTGTGTCCGGACTCATTTTACCGCCACCTCGGCAGTGTGTGGGGACCTTAAAGAAAAACTTTACCATTGCAACAGCGTGCTTTTTTAATTACATTATCCAATCAATTTTTATAAGCAAATAGAAAAAAATGTTTAGTAGCAAATAACTTTTATTGCATTTATGTTATCTAAAATATAGGCAAGCTGTAGTTGCAAAGATAATTTTCTACTCTATATTATGTTCTGAAATTTTGGAGCCACTACTACCAACACAGAAAGATAAAAGTTGTCCCCCTCAAAACAGTTTTTGCTATGTTGTACATTTGTAAGACGGAGAAAAGACATGCGGGTGTGATGTCCTCCATGGGTAATAATATTCAATAAGTTAAAAATCTAATCCTATGCGGACTTTTAAAATGTTGCGTATTTGAATGAATAGCTTTAAAAGGTTTACCGGGATTATTTTTTTTTTTACTAGCAGAAAAAAACATATATATCGGAACATTTCAAACATGTTGAAAAAAAAATGGTCGAAATCGGATAATTATTTCTACTAATTTTCATAATTTTATTTTACATTTTAAATCAAAAAAGTACAAACCAGTATATTATATTATGGATAGTTGCGATTTAAGGGGACGCTACACCCGCATGTGTTGTCTCCGTCTTACAAACGTAGAACATAGCAAAAACATATTTTGCGCGGGAAAGAACCGAGAAAGCTACAGTCATAATTAAGAAACGAAATTTTCACCACATAAAAAGGAGAACGTTGGCTGTGCAATGTCGTTTTTATATTTTCGATATCGGACGTACAAAAAAAGTTATTCAAGTTTGAAAAATACAAAAACAAATGTATTTTGAAACAATAATAACTTTTTTCATATAAGTGATATCGAAAAAATAAAAACGATATTGCACAGCCAAAGTTCTCCTTTTTATGTGGTGAAAATTTCGTTTCTTAATTATGACTGTAGCTTTCTCGGTTCTTTCACGAGCAAAAAATAATTTTGCTATGTTCTACATTTGTAAGACGGAGACAACACATGCGGGTGTAGCGTCCCCTTAATGAATACAATTATTATTATTTTTATGTCGCCGTGACTAATGATTATTATAATATTATTTAAAGTAAAGGCGTAAAGCTGATCGCTGGCGGTGTGTACTCGTCAAAAACCGGTTATGAACTATGAAGCGGTAGTTGTAGCGGATCGGAGGGTAACGAACGTTGTCGAACGCTGCCGTAATAACGTAGCAGTACCAGATTTTTATGCGTTTTTCTTACAAAACAGTTTGCGCGTTCCAATAATACGGATAACTTAGTGCTTTTATTGCAAAAATACCTATGAACAAAATTTTAGAGGAAAATTTTGTCTGGTTCCGTTAATAAGTCCAATTGTTGATATCATTAAAACATCATGAGTTATATCATGATTAATAATACACTTTTTTTAAAAATTTTCAAAAGTTATTTTTAAGACTTAGAAATGAAAATTTCAAAAATCAGGCTTCTGACGGAACCAGATATAACTCTCCTCTACAATTTTGTTTATAGGTGTTTTTACAATAAGACCACTCAGTAACCCATGTTATTGGAATGCGCAATTATGTTTTTAAAGGAATTTTTCCGTGACAGGTCCTCTTAAGTCAATAGTCAATTTGACTACGGATATGGTGCTTAGATCCTTAACCCTGGTGTGGCAGACGGCAGTGTGTTATATTTTCACAGCGATCTGTATTGACGAATTGTTGCTGGATGTTGTTAAGAGGACGTTAGACGTACAAATGTACAATTGTTTTTTCTGTCTTACGAGAGCGTAACATGGCAAATTTTACGCTCATCAGATCACGTTTAGCTTCGTTAGCTTAAAAACTTGAGTGAATTGACCTCTTATTAAATTTAAAATTAAGATTATTATCTAGGTCATTTTATAGAATTGTTTTATACATTTTAATTTTAAAGCGAGTTATGAGTATTTTAAGATATACAAACAATTCACAATTTTTAAAATTCATAACTCGCTTTAAAATTAAAATATAATGAAAATTCTATGTGAATATGTGATGCAGTAGATATTAGATAATAATTTTAGCTTTAAATTTTATTAGAGGTCAATCTACTCTAATTTTTAAAGTAACGGAGCTCAACGTGATCTGATGAGCTTAAAATTTAAAATGTTACGAACTTGAAAAACAGAGAAAATTGATGTCCTCTTAAGAGCTTAATACGCGGCATGGTAAGATTGCAACTTAGTATGGCTGTGGGGGAAGGGGGTGGCAAACCATATTCTCCAAATATTTGTATAGTCATTTCAAATTTATAAGTTCTAAATAATTATTTATTCAATGAGGCGAAAATTGGCTCAGAACAAGTTTATTCAAGTATGCTGTTTCTCAAGTTTGGCTATTCTCAATATTGAAAAATAGGTTGTAGATTTATTAAAGAATGATTATTGGAAAATAAATGATTTAAAAGATGAAAAAATTGTATAAAAATAAAATTTTGATTAAAATATATTTCTATATCTGGTACTTATCTTTGTATAAAAATTAATGTAAATGTATATTTATCATTATCTGCAGTGGCAGATCCAGGGCAGAAATCAAATTTATAAGAAATTCTCAATTTTAAAATGCTCTTGCTTCATTGAGACAACATATTAATATATTATGCAAAGTGTGACGTCCTCGTTGTTAAAAACAGCTTGAGCTTATCGGTTTTTAATAAAAAGAACCGTTGTCATCTTAAAATCAAATTATGTGTATGCCAATGCGATAAATCTATTATAAATTATAATCTTCAAATAGGACTATTTTTTTTCCATTGATAGTTGTCTAAAACCAAGTATCGGCCAATGAGCCACTTTAATGTACTGTAGTGTAGTGTATGTGCCAGTTCACTATTGAATAAACTCAATAAACTAATCTATGCTTCAGTAGATAAAAAATCTATAAAATAATCTTTAAAATACATAATAATCACAAAAAGTTCCATTTCAAGAAAAAAGATACCTAAACCTAACTATAAAATATCTCATTAGTTTCAATTGAAATACACAAGTCCAAACTATTAAATAACTTTAAAATGATATTTTATGGAACCTGACGCAAATAGATCCTTGTGACACAGTGATGGAATTAGACGTTGTATCTAATAATATGTAATTGGATTTGAATCTACACAACAGATATTCATTTAGTAATTACTCTAAATATAAAATTAGGAACTTATTGCCTTATATTTCATTGAATATATTTTAATATCCATGCAATAGACAATAGTTAATCAGAGTATACATAATAAAAATAATACTTTCCTAGAATGCAATAGCGAATAAGTAACTAGGTACCTACATAATATGACCAAATATAATCATATAATTTATAAGAGTAGATATAGAAATAGTTATTTTTATGATACCCAATACAATCGTTATATTTCTTGTCACATAAAAAAATATCTGCTTCTAAACGTATATATAAAAAAAAATAATACAATTTATTGTCAAACTGTTTAAGTTTAATAAAAAATTAAAACTAACTATTAAGTTATTTAACTAACTTAAATTTGAAGTTAAACTATCATATCTTATGTTAAAATGATTTTATAACATTATTAAATATACAAATACCGACATAAGTTGGGTATTACAATTATGTTTTATTTTTACATCAAAAAAATAATCACTACTGCAGCATATTTTGTTCTATAACTTTATGAACATTTTTCATGTGCATTTTCATAGTTGACTTTTGAGCACATTTTTTTTCGCACAGAAAACATTTAAACATTGGTTCAATTCCACACTCATAATTTAAGTGTTGGGTGAGTCCACTTTTCCTCTTGTAAGAGCGTCCACATTTATTTGGACAAAAGAATCGGCATAATGGATCTAATATTGGGTACATATTTTCATCTAAAATGAAAAAAAATAAAATTATTTTATACACTATTTCGCTCCTTATAATTAATATCATTGTTTTGAAACTATGCAAAGTAAGGTATAAATCATGCATAATATTATAGATTAAATATAAATACAAGAATTTTTAAAATTAAATAAGTTTGAAAAAAGCATACAGGTAACAATAAATATATTCTCTACTATAAAAATTATTTTTATTATTATGATGGGTTCATAATTATTTATGTTCCAGGCATTTGAAAAAATATAGGACTAAGTATTGAATTTGTATATTTTCATCCCTTAAAGGACATAATATCTGAGGCTAGATCTCTCCCGGTATTAAATAATAAAAATAAATTAAATAGTAAATATGCTTCTGAAGTTCCAAATATTAACTAACTAATTACAAACTAAATTGTTCTTAATATTACTGTGATTTCCTAAGAATAAGGTAAGTACTTTAGAATAATAATAAACATGTTTTAATAATTTATAAGGTTTTCATTTATTGTTTTTAATTTATTGGTAAATACAATCATCTATATAAATAAACTATTAAAACATTGCCATAATAAAGTTTTATTACGATCAAAGATAATATAAATTATGACTCTGTACATAACTCTTGGTTTGTAAAAGTTATTTTTAAATGATACACACTTTATTATACACACATAATATAATACTTATGTTATAGTATAACATCCCACACGGAAGAAAAACGGTATATCTATACCCAATATTGCAGCCTATAAATAAAATTAACAAAACAATTAATAACATTTTAGCAATTTACATATTGTGAGGTTTAACTTAATAGCAATTGTGTGATCAAACTAAAAATATTTGTTGAATTAAAAAAATTACAACAAGTAACATGCGCAAATAAATACACTACTTTTAAGTTTTAATCATCTGCAACACCCGTAGGTAGTATCTAAGACGTACACCATAGGCGAATCTACAGGGTGTGCCTGGTGTGCCAGGGCACACCCTGCGACTCGTATAAACCTGTGTATAGGGCCCATAATACTCATTTCAGTTACAATGGTATTGAGTCTAAACATTAAACAATTTATATTTTAATTTTAAGAGGACGTGATACCTGCATGTGTTGTCTCTGTCTTACAAGTGCGTAACATAGCAAATTTTACGCTCAGCAGAACACGTG